ATAATTTATTATTGATAACTTGAATTTATTTTTTATTATCATTAACTTATAAGAAAATAATTATTAAATTAATGATTCTCGAATTTAATATATTACAAATGATATCAATTTATACACTAATTTAATGATTCTAATATCGAACACCGTGAGTATTTAAATTATAATATGTAATATTAATAAAAAAATCATAAACTATATATATTATTGATAAAAATTTTAGTACTTCAATAATATATATAGTTTATGATTATTAAATTTTATAAAATAGCTAAAAACACAGACTAATAATAATTTATATTTAAACTTTTACTAATAATTTGTTCAAAAAAATTATCCATTATGTTTAAAACCATAGCATTCCATATAATCTATACATTATCTATAATTTTTTAAGAATATATTTTAAAAAAAGTTTGATATTAATAAATAAACAAATTACTTTTTATAGTTAAAAATAAAGTAGATATGAGATTTATTTTATTTTTTAAGAATATTTACGTTGTAATTATCTTCGTTAGAATCCTAATAATTTATCTCAATATAATTAAATTTAGTCACGGTAACTTATCAATATATTAATAATTTAAGTTATAATTATAAAATTTAAAAATTAATTAAATAATAAAAATTTTAAGTTTACGCAAAAGTTTATAAATTTAAAATTACAATAACACTATTTTATTTCCTTACGAAGATACAAATTGCACAGGGATCTACGAGAGCGCACAGACATCCCACGTGGCTAAATAAATAAATCTCCTGCTGAGCTGTGATCTCTCTCAATCCGAAACAGCATGATCTTGGCGGAGCCAACAACACGCTCCTGTTTCTCACTGTTGACACCGACAAACGCGCGATAACCAGACTCCATTTCTTGCTTCAGTGCGCAGAGTCAAGCTCTGCTCTAGGGTTTTCGTCTCTTTGGAGTTCGAGTTTAGTGATGTCGGGGATAGGGAAGACGGTGCTTGACTCGGGCTGGCTCGCAGCCAGATCCACGGAGGTGAAGCTCAGTGGCGTTCAGCTCACCACTACTCACCCTCCTGCTACCGGCGCCGAGTCCCCTTGGATGGAGGCCGTCGTCCCTGGAACGTAATAATACTCGTATTTACATAATATATAGTTGCATTAGTTATGTGTATTATATCTACAGTCATATATAGAGACATTCTTAATTTCTTATATATCTTTTTCTAATTCTACTCAGATCATTTTGGAGAATTTTTAGAAATAAATTCATATCTCTTTTTTTGCTAATTTTTTTTATCCTGATTTTTGAATTAAGAAATTGAAGTTGTGTTAAATAACCGTTGATTAAATATAGAAATGGGGACGATAATGTATAGAGTGGAAACTACCTAATTGAAGAGAGGGCCGGTTTTAGGACTTGCTATACTGAATTTCTCTGTAAAAATTTTAAAGTTACTACGACCTTTGCTTTAAGAAATATGTAATGTAATGAAGCTTATGCGTTTAATTAATGATAATAATGAATGTTAGTGGTGATCGTAATTAATTTGAACAATTTGTGGAACTTGATTTTGAACTAGGTTGGAAGATGATTGTAAATGTGAGTTGTAGCAACTTTTGACATGATGATTCATGTTCTTTATGGAGTTTGGTTATGACATTAAAGCAGTTGATGGCTGCTAATATATGCTCTGAATTGGCAATTCTGGTATTCTGCAAATTCTATTCCTAGTTGTAATTGATGCTTTCGTGGATTTTATTGAAAAATAGACCCATATTTTTGCAACTATAATAGATGAAATAGATGTTATGAACATTTTGAATGGAAATATTTGGCACATACTGCATTATTGATGTCACTTGTTTCGAGTCATGAGATATCTCTTTGGAGTGAGAATTCTATATTAGGATACATCACATAAAGGAGGGTCATCTTGTTGTGCCAATGCTGTTCCTTTCTAGAAAATAGAAAATTGATAAGATGTGAAAATCCTGTTAAAGTAACTTGTGTTTAACCATGTTTTATTCTGGTTGATATTATATAATTTTTCTTCATCAATGTCAACTAATCATTTCTAGAATTACGAATGCATTCAACACAAAGAATGTGTTTATATAGAGATGGTAATGAGTTTGCTTATCTGGCTTAATGGAAATTTCATGGACAGTGTTTTGGCGACCCTGGTAAAGAACAAAGTTGTTCCTGATCCTTTCTATGGACTAGAAAATGAAACAATCATCGATATAGGTGATTCTGGGAGGGAATACTACACATTCTGGTTTTTCACGACATTTCAGAGTAAGCTGGTATGCAAGCTTTGACATGATGAAATATTTTTGAGGTTAAACATGATCCCATATTCTTTCTGTCTGCAATGTATTGAGTGGTTAAATTCTATCAAACCTGCACTATGGTAATAGCTTGAATATTAACATTGCGGTGGAGCAGTTATCTCTGTTTAATACAGTTTTAGGTTCAAGCTTTCTTATATGTTGATCCTCCCTTTCCTTCTGAGTTCCATCCTTCGATAATTGGCATGTTGCAGTTAGAAAACCAGCATCTACATTTGAACTTCCGTGGAATTAATTACTCTGCCGAACTATATTTGAATGGACACGAGAAAGTTTTGCCAAAAGGGATGTTTCGTAGACATTCTCTTGATGTTACTAATATTGTGCATCCTGATGGCAAGAACCTCCTAGCTGTTCTTGTTCATCCTCCAGATCATCCAGGGAAAATTCCTGCAGAGGGAGGGCAAGGTGGGGATCATGAGGTACAAAATTCTTTGAATGGCCATCATAATTCATTTATCTTATGGCAGTTGAAAGGTATTTCAGTGTATTGCAATGTCAAGTATGAACGAAATGTGGAACTTAACATCATTTTATTTTGCTGTTAGATTGGAAAAGATGTAGCTACACAGTATGTTGAGGGCTGGGATTGGATAGCTCCTATACGGTAATTATTTTGTTTCTTGAGAGTTCTGAGTTTTGTTTTACGATTTTCTATCTCCATGCTGAATATTTGTTCTTCATCAGGTTCTTGGACATATTAGTCTATTGTGTGTGCTATAGTTAAGTCCTTTAAACATATCAACGCTATAGGGAGAAAAAATTAAGAAGTTATTAGGGTCAAGGAGGTGTCTTTATTTCACTATTATTTGAAACTTTATGTTCATTCACTTGATACCATGGTAGTATTGTTTATATATCCTGTGAATTTTCGTACCTGTTGGTGATCATATAAGGAGCTAGAATTTGTATGAGCAATAGGCTAGATGAGAAACAAACTAGATATGGACATTAATGATGCTAATTAGAATTATTACATTATTATGTGTGCATGAGCAGCTGAGTTAACATAGATATTCATACATTTTGTTATAAAGTAAAGGACGATAATGGAAAACTACTCAATGTGATGCAGCACAGCAGGTCAGATTCTAGAGAGAGAAGACAATAAATAACATAAAAGATAGTCTAGTATACAACCATATGAAGTTGCAACAACAACAATTACAAAGTTTGTACTAGAACTGAAATCAGTTAGAAAAATCAATTATTTTATTCGTAAGTAGTTTATCTAATAATGATGAAGCACTCATGTATCTATAAGGTGTGTACATAGCTTAAACTAATAAAAACTATGTTAGATGTCCCCACATCAGAATATGCATAGTGCTCTCTAAGGAAGAAAGAAGTTTACTGTGACATTAGTGTAATGATTTCCTTGACTTGGAAAGCAAAAAGGTATTGTGTCATGATGATAAATCAATGAAAATTCTCTATGTATTTTCTCATGAATTTTCTTCTGTTTTGAATTGTTTTTATAACTTCAAACATTTTGCTGTAGTCGTTTGCTTTGAGATGAGCTTATAATTCCCTGCTCATTTTAGTAGGATTAGAAAAGATAGTATTTGATGGTTCACCCTTGCTTACCTCAGGGATAGGAATACTGGCATATGGGACGAAGTATCTATTTCTGTCACTGGGGTAAGTCTCATTACCTCTTCCTGTGTAATTGTTCCTCTCAATCATATATATCCAGTCATCATGCTGGACTAGGAAGTTAACTATGCTTGGTTAGTTAAACTAAGTTGACTATAATATGTTTGAATCTTCTATTCAACCAGCTTCCTACTACTCTTTGTCATATACATGTGCAGAATTTGTATTTGTTCAATGGAAGTTTGTTCTTGAATCAATTAACTGGAGTCTGTATATCATTCCCTCTCCCTATTTTTTTTCTGGTGCAGCCAGTGAAAATAATTGATCCCCACTTGGTTTCTTCATTATTTGACAATTACAAGAGGGTGTATTTGCATGCAACTACCGAGTTGGAAAATACTACTGACTCTGTTGTTGAGTGTTCTTTGAATATTCAAGTGTCAACAGAACTTGAGGAGAATATTTGTTTATTAGAACATCTTCAAACTCAACAAGTCTCAATCCCTGCCCATGGACGTGTTCAACATACATTTCCCCAGGTCAGTTACACTATGGATTTATGCTGACTAGTTGACACTTTTTTTTGTTATTGCATGTGATTCATTCAGGTTAATCCTCCATATTGAAACAGCTGTCACTAGAATCCATGCACTATCTCTTATACTTGGTAGGATCTCTAATAATTAAGAGAACAAGATTTGCTTTAGTCTGGAACACAAGCAATTAGTCCAGTGGTCAACTTGTAGGGGCCAACTGTGGCGTCTGATCTCCATTATTTGGTGCTTCATCAATCTTCCTTGTCAAAGGATGAAAGGATCCAGTTTTTGCAGAACTTTTTGGAATATTGATTCTCTTCTTGGATTGATGCATATTATGTTATAATACATTAAGAGCCTGCTTGAAATAAAATGCACACTGATGTTCGGCTGCCTATTATCCTTCAGGCACCCTGTTTATGTACTCTACTTTTTTCTCTCAAAATTTTTTTTTCTGCTTAGTACTTCTTTCATGGGCTTACTTTATGAATTGGCAGCTTTTTTTCTACAAGCCTAATTTATGGTGGCCGAATGGCATGGGAAAGCAATCTCTTTATGAGGTCTCTATTACTGTTGATGTTAAGGGACATGGGGAGTCTGATTTCTGGAGTCAACCTTTTGGATTCCGTAAAATTGAGAGTTACATAGATAGTGCAACTGGTGGAAGGTAGGGGTCATCCATAAATATCACAAACAAATTTCATATCTTCTGCCCTCAAATTAGATATTTTCTGTGACCTAACATCTCCATTCAACAGGTTGTTCAAGGTTAATGGGCAGCGTATATTTATTCGTGGTGGAAATTGGATACTATCAGATGGGTTACTACGTCTTTCTAGAGAACGATACAGAGCAGACATCAAGTTCCATGCAGATATGAATTTCAATATGATCCGTTGTTGGGGTGGTGGATTGACCGAGAGGCCTGAATTTTATCACTATTGCGATATCTATGGTTTGCTGGTAATTATCATATCTACATTCAGACTTCCCTCTCCTCCCCAACACAAAGGAAAAGGAAAAGAAAACAGAGTGAACCTGGGATTATATATAACTGCTCAAATGTTTTAAAAATTACGTTTTATGAGTGATGGATGGACTTGACATTTTGGTTATTTAATATGTAGTTCTTCCTCTGTTGATCAATTTGTTGGCTCAAGATATTGTTCCCTATCTTCAGCATGTGGCGCATGAACTTTGATTCTATCTTGGAAAGGAAGTGGCACAACATATTAAGATTTCAGAATGCATCTGTTTTAATGAAATGTTTTTAACAGTAGGAGTTGGTACCAGGGCTTCTTTCCAGGGCAAAGCAAAGTTTGTGTCTGTGACCACTTACATGCTTTTAACTTTGTAAGGCTTTGATGATTTTTTGGGGGGAAAGGTAAAGCAGCTAGAAACTGCAACACTAGATTCCTTGGCCTCTTAGATAGAGCAAGGAGACACATCATCTAGACTAAGGGCCAGGGTTGTAAGGCCTAGAACTTAATCACGGATGATGTACAACAGTCAATTTAATCTAGAACTTTGACCAGGAAGATTTTGATGATCCTGTTATTCCTAGAAACTTTGAATGATCAATATAGTTTAATTTGAAATCTGATTTAATGACATCAGTTTGGCTGACTTTAGTAAATGATTAAAACTTTGTAGGTCTGGCAAGAATTCTGGATCACTGGAGATGTTGATGGAAGAGGTATTCCGATATCGAATCCAAATGGTCCTCTTGACCATGATCTTTTTCTGCTATGTGCCAGAGACACTATCAAGCTTCTTAGAAATCATCCTAGTCTGGCTCTCTGGGTGGGTGGAAATGAGCAAGTTCCACCAGATGACCTCAACAAGGCTTTAAAGAGTTACCTTAAACTCCATCCTCTTTTTCAGAACTCCGATCCAAATGACAAGTCTGTAGAAGATTTATCTGCAGGATCCAAAGATCCTAGCCAATATCTTGACGGTACACGTATCTATATCCAGGGATCGCTGTGGGATGGCTTTGCAGATGGAAAAGGGGGCTTCACTGATGGCCCTTATGACATCCAAAATCCTGAAGACTTTTTTAAGGATGATTATTACAAATATGGATTCATTCCTGAGGTTGGTTCTGTAGGAATGCCAGTTGCAGCAACCATAAGAGCTACAATGCCTGTGGAAGGTTGGCAAATTCCCTTGTTTAAGAAGCTTCCTAATGGTTATGTAGAAGAAATTCCAAACCCAATCTGGGAGTACCACAAGTACATACCTTATTCAAAACCAGGCAAAGTTCATGATCAGATTTTGAAGTATGGGATGTCAAAGGATCTTGATGACTTTTGTTTGAAGGTATTACCAAAAACATTCATCCATGTACTTGGATGCTCTTTAAAAATCTATGTTCATCTTTGACTTACTTGGAGTCATCATGTCAGGCCCAACTTGCCAACTATATCCAGTATAGAGCTCTGTTGGAGGGCTGGACATCTCATATGTGGAGCAAGTATACTGGTGTTTTGATTTGGAAGAACCAGAATCCTTGGACAGGTCTTAGAGGACAGTTCTATGATCACCTTCTTGACCAGACAGCAGGTTTCTATGGTTGTCGCTCTGCTGCAGAACCCATACACATCCAGCTAAATCTGGCTACATATTTTATAGAGGTAACACCTTCTTGGAAAATGTGTTGAACTTAATATACATTATTTATTGATTGAGGTGCACAGAAGAGAGAACATATGGAGTTCATAAACTACATTACTCTGAGACAACATAGAAACTAGTTTCTCTTCCATTTCCAATCTTTTAAGTAACAAATTTTGATTCATGGAAGTTGTGTTTTGATTGTTATGATCAGGTTGTTAATACAATGTCGGAGGAACTTACTAACGTTGCAATTGAAGCATCTGTGTGGAACCTGGATGGTTCATGTCCATATTACAAGGTTATTGATAATGTTTCGGTGCCACCAAAGAAAGTTGTACCTATTGTTGAGATGAAGTATCCAAAGTCGAGAAACCCAAAACCAGTCTATTTTCTTCTTCTTAAACTTTACAATATTTCAGATTATAGCATTATATCCCGCAACTTTTACTGGTTGCATCTGTCTAATGGAGATTACAAGCTTTTGGAGCCATACAGAAGGAAGAAAATACCCCTCAAGATAACATCAAAAACTTTTATTACAGGGTCAACTTATGAAATAGAAATGCGAGTGCAAAATGCATCAAAGAAACCAGATTCTATCAGTTCAATTTGTTTGAATAACTTCACTACCAAGTACGGTGACGGTCACTCTGGCGTGAGTATGGCGGAGCCTGTGGGTAGTGAGACTGAGGGGAAAAGCAAACCTGGTTTGCTTCACAGGGTTTACAAAACCTTCTCGAGGGAAACTAATGGTTTGAGGGTGTCGGAAGTTAATGGTGTTGATTCTGGAGTTGCTTTCTTCCTTCATTTCTCTGTTCATGCTTCGAAGACACACTACAAGGAAGGTGAAGATGCAAGAATTCTTCCCGTTCACTACTCTGACAACTATTTTTCTCTTGTGCCCGGGGAAGTGATGCCCATCAAGATCTCTTTCGAGGTCCCTCCTGGTGTCACACCACGTGTGATACTCAAAGGCTGGAATTACCATGACGGACATACTGTCATTTGAGCATAGTATTTCTATCCATAACTTGCAAATTTTGTATGTATCTATGAAGTTGATTAGGGCGTAATACTGGTTTGTCCCTTGTTCCACATTTACACTCATGATTGTTGTATCTTCCTGCCGCGGAAATGTCTGCTTCAAAAGCTTCTCTAGGGGAACTGGAAATAAAGATGCTGCACTGCTGAAGAGAATTGACTTGTTCAAGGCATTACTATCTATCTAGCATATAAACGAGTGCTTTCTGTGAATAACCTCTTTTTTTTTTGTTTTTGTTTTTTCTGAACTCTTGGCCTCTAAATTGTTATCTTTTGTCACTTCCCTATTTGTTCTTTATCTTAATTTCTCAACCTATTAGTTGTGAGGTGAGTAAGATGGCAAACAAAGAGAGGCTAAAGTTTATTTTCTTTTTTAAAATGGTATGTTCGTTTCAATCTTTTACTTAATTATACACTTTAATATGTATATAAGTGTGATATAATTCTGCTATAGAAATTATTTCTTTATTTTGACTTTTTATAATAGATATTTAGGTATTGTTCGGTATAGAAAAAATATACATATTTTTCAAGTTTCATTTTCTAAGGTCTACAAAATTTTAAGAGAATATTTGTTTATACATGAAATAAAATACAAAGCGTAATTTGTAGTAAACAATGTTTTTGTGTATTAAGTTGGGTTTTAATTTTATCTGGAGAAATAAAATTAATATTTCATTTATAAAAAAATTCAAATTAGAGTTTGTTCAAAAGAAAAAGATGAGCCAAAAAAAGAAAAGGAAGAAATTAGATTTAAAATGAAAGAAAACACCTGTGGGGGTTAAGAATTCTGTAGTGTAGTAAACGTTCGAGACCGTCAATAACCGTCATGGTAAACCAGTAAGCTTCGTCTCTCTCTCTCTCTCTCTCTCTTTTTCTTTTTTTTTTTTTCATTTTCATGGATGAAATCCCAATGGATCTTACACAAACTGAGCTCTCACCTTCCCCCATCGCTCTCCTCTCTCTTCTCCCCATTAAGAACTCTAATCCACCAGAACCCATCTCCAAACACCTCAGTATTCGTCCTCAACCATGCAGACATCAGCCGCCTCTTAGCCATCTGTGGAAGGGAAGCTTGCTTCTTCCCTCTAGGTTCATCTCTCCATGCCTCCATCACCAAGAAACCTGAGCTTTTCCACCCCATGAATCCTGACAATCAGCCTCACGTTCTCCTCATTTGGAACTCTCTTCTGTCAATGTATGTGAAATTCAGAGAGTTGAGGGATGCAGTCAAGCTGTTTGATGATTTGCCCGTCAGAGATACCGTCTCATGGAATACGATGATATCTGGGATTTTGAGGAACGGAGAGTTCAGCGCGGGAATTGAATTGTTCAAGCAGATGTTTGAATTGGATTGTTGCAGGTTAGATCAAGCAACTTTGACCACCCTTTTATCGGCTTGTGATAAACCGGAGCTCTGTTTTGTGATCAAGATGATGCATGGTTTAGTGTTCTTGAGTGGCTATGAACAGGAAGTCACTGTCGGAAACGCGTTGGTTACATCATATCTTAAAGGTGAGTGTCCTAGTTCAGGCCAGCAGGTTTTTGATGAGATGTTAGCTCGGAATGTGATTAGCTGGACGGCTGTTATTTCGGGTTTAGTGCAGAACAAGTTGTATGAGGATAGTCTGAAAATGTTCATGGAGATGCGCAGAACACCAGTAGCACCAAATTCTTTCACGTATTTAAGCTCATTAATGGCGTGCTCTGGCTTGGAAGCCTTATGGGAAGGACGTCAAATTCATTCTCTTGTGTGGAAAGTCGGGGTTGGTTATGATTTGTGCATGGAGAGTGCGCTTATGGACATGTACTCAAAATGCGGGAGTATTAAAGATGCATGGCAGATTTTTGAATCTGCGGAAGAATTTGATGAGGTTTCCATCACCGTAATGCTTGTTGGTCTTGCACAGAATGGTTTAGAGGAAGAAGCTTTACATTTTTTCATGACGATGATCAGAGCAGGAGTTGAGATAGACATGAACATGGTTTCAGCAATCCTTGGGGTTTTTAGTGTGGATACTTCTCTAGGTTTTGGCAAGCAGCTCCATGGTTTAATTATAAAGAAAAGCTTCAGTTCCAATCCCTATGTCAGCAATGGAGTGATCAACGTATACTCAAAATGTGGAGATTTGGAGGATTCAATCAAGGTTTTCAGTAGAATGTCTAATAGAAACACAGTTTCATGGAATTCAATGATAGCTGCCTTTGCCCGTCATGGAGATGGCTTGAAAGCACTGCAGTTGTATGAAGAGATGATAATGGAAGGCGCAAAACCTACAGACGTCACATTTCTCTCATTACTCCATGCTTGTAGCCATGTGGGTTTGGTCGAAAAGGGCTTGGAATTCTTGAAATCCATGACTGAAGTTCATGGATTTCATCCCAGGCCGGAGCATTATGCTTGCATTGTTGACATGCTAGGACGAGCTGGCCTTCTCGAAGAAGCAAAAACTTTCATCGATAAATCAGTTGGGAATCCTAATGCGCTTGTTTGGCAGGCGTTGCTTGGTGCTTGCAGCATTCACGGTGATCCTGAACTTGGCAAATACGCGGCTGAGAAGCTGGTTTTGGCAGCTCCTGAGAGCGCGGCACCATACATATCAATGGCGAATATATATTCTACTAAAGGGAGATGGAGAGAGCGAGCTAGGACAATCAAGAGGATGAAAGAAATGGGGGTGGGTAAAGAAACTGGCATGAGTTGGATTGAGATTGAAAAGAAAGTTCACAGCTTTGTTGTTGAGGACAGAATGCATCCACAAGGAGAGATTATGTATGAGGTTTTGGCAGCATTGTTTCCTATTATGGTAGATGAAGGATATGTGCCTGATAAAAGGTTTCTTCTTTCTTACTTGGATGAAGATGAGGAGGGTGGGTGAGTGACCATGCTAATTAAGTGAAATATTCGGATTAAATATTAACCGTTCAATTGAAAAATAATTAATAATTTATATTAAAAATTGAATAATATTATTTTGAAATAAAATTAAAATTAATTAAATTGTGTAAATTTATAAATAAGTTTTTATAAAAATTTAATTTTTTTTTTCAAACATAACTCTATATATTAAATTTTTTATTATTTTAATTTAAAATTTTTTTATTTTAGCACCCAAGTTTTTTAATTATTTCTATTTTATCATTCCACCAACAGGAATAAACTAAAATAAGCTGTTAAAAATTTATTTTAAACTCGAATTAATAGTTTAGTTCATAATTGGTGATGGCAGAAACGCACCGTTTCATTTCCACGTGTATGGGCGTGGATCTACTACCTGTACCTAACAGAGTAGAGGGAGTTCTTTCTGGAGACCAGAGAGAAATAAACAATGGAGTACTGTTCTTCTCTCTACGGTTCCCTCTCTCAAGTTCTTCCATTTCCAAGCACAGTCACTAAACAACACGGCAACACTTTATTCTTCTCTAATTCAAGGCTCACCTCCGGTTCTCAGTTTTCGGTGAATTGCAGAGGAAGAACCGGAGATGATCCTCTCCTCAGTTCCTCACCTTACGCCATCCTCGGTGTCGAGCCAGGCTGCTCGGCCGCCGAACTGAAAGCTGCCTTTCGCGCCAAAGTAAAATATTTTGAATTATTATTTTATATTTGTAATTCTGATTTTTTAATTAGGAAATAAACAATTATATTGTTATACTTATTTTGGTGTGAATGATGAAGGTAAAGCAGTATCATCCTGATGTGAACAGAGGCGGAGGAGATTTTGATTTTATGATTCGTCGTGTAATTCAGGCTTACGAGGTAAAAAGAAAATTTTGTTCAATACTTGTGCGCTTTTTTAACAGTTGAAATACAATTCTTATATTTTTACTTTAACATGCTTGAATCCTTTATAATTGGTGCTGATAGTTACTTGTTTAATTTTTTATTCTAATTTTTCGTATTAGTCTTAAGATATGTCATCAAAAATATAATTGAGTGAATTTCTAAGGTATCTCAGAGTACCCTGCGTCTTACCCAAAAAGAAATTATGGGACTCGGATGTGTATTAGAGGAGGTATGATGACAGAGGCACCAGAATCTCACCATGTAATTGTTTAATAGCTGTAACTATTTTTTGATGGTGGAAATTCTCAGAACTAGAACTTAACTAGGAATTGAATGGTAAATAAACCAAATGCAACATTTAATAGTTTTTGAAATTATTGAGTTGGGTGATGAGTTATTATTCAGATTGTAACAAAATTATCTCAAGAAACAAAGAAGACCTTGTGCTTCTCTGTATTCAAGTAACAGCTTGGCTTGTTGTATAAATTAGCTCTTACCAATTTCTTTTGCTCAATATCTGCAGAGCTTTTGTTGTCATTGTCTTTCTTTCGAATGAATTGTTAGTTATGTTGATATTAAACAAATGTGAAATTTTTGTTATTTGTTGAAAGGAATTTATTTATAAATGCTAAACTTGACATTGTTAGTGAGAAACTGAGGCTAGGTGACTGCTGTGGGATAATAATTTAATGATGCGTGCAGATGCTAACAAACTGCAGCCGATCAGAGATCATTGAGAGGTAGGCTCCATGTTGGATGCTTATCAGAAATTTTAAGCTTCTAAAGAGCATGGGATATAATATCATAATTTTAATCATGTCTATAAGTTGTTGCTGATATTGAATTGAATCTTAACTAGTTAGACACTTTTTTTAATGTTAATATGTATCTTGCTGAGCTCATAAAAATACATATGGTTGAAGTAGATTGTCTGTGATTGTGCTAACCAATGGTGTTTTTCGTGGATGATCCTTGATACTCGTGTTCTGATGCGTCTTGATTTCATCATGGGTTACTCCTCGTATGAAGATCTATGCTTAATAGAGCAGGCAAGGAAACTTATGCGTTACTGTGCAAACACATATGTATATGATTTTCGGTAAAGAAACAAGTTCAATTTAATATTTCATTGAATTGTGTGTTTTGAGACAGGACTTAAGCATGAGCAGTAAACATTTCTGACCTCGACTTGTTTCATAGGGAGTCAGATTTCATCTCTCTTTGAATAGTCACACAACTGATCACATGTAGCTCTGTA